CATTTAAATGATGACGTTGTCTACATGCAGATCCGAGTGTACAGTATACTAAAGTATATTTATGACTTATCTGTTGGCTGGCAATGGCAGTATGGTGGTGCAGTAGTTAGCGTTGCTACCTCACAGCACGGGGGCCCTGGGTTCGATACCCAGACCTGAGTGGAGTTTGTATGATCTATTTGTGTTTCCTCCCACACTCTAAAGACATACTGGTAGGTTAATTGGCTTCTAGGAAAACTGGCCTGGTGTGAGTGTGTGCGTGTCTTGTGATGAACTGGTGTCCTGTCCAGGGTGTACCTGGCCTTGTGCCTGTCGCTTGCTGGGATCGTGACCCCGAACTGGACAATGGGTGGATGGAAGTTGGCTGGCAATAGCACACTACTGTCACTAAACCTCCTCCACAATTTTGGAGGTCCAGATTCTTTAGAACTATCTCACAGAGCCTCTGGCCAGCCTTAACCTGTGACATTGATTCCTGGAGTTTCTCTGGCTCTGACCAGCAGGAAGACCTGCTGCTACCTGAGCATCAGGCAGGAAAGAAACCTCAGGGGTCCTGTTGGCAACAGTGCAGTCCCCATGCTTGTCACAGTCCCGGCCTTTCTCTTTCGGGACATGAGGCATGGTTTGGTTCCAATGCGCTCCCCTGACATATCAGGTGATCGACTGGAATCTGCAAATACTCTCTTCCATTTGCACACTGTATTTTTTGGAACACTGAATAGGGCATGAGCCATTGGTCAGGACAAACATGCACTTTTACAAAGCATGCCGAAACCTCGCACCTGAGCGCGAAGCCGTGCACAAGTAACGCACAAAATTCCCGCCAGTTGGGGTGCCCAATGTGCGATTCGACATTGTCTTTCTAGATAGCCAGAGGACCTGGAAGACCTAGCAGGGTGGTCTCCCACAGATACATCAGTGACTCGAGAAACAGGATAACAAAATCGCCCACAAGGTTCATCTGAACAGCAGATGTTTCAATTAGCGTCAGTTGTCCTCACTGTGGTTTTCAATAACTCACGCTCTCGGCTGGACTCCATTCTCATTAGAGCATGCCCTGCTACCTGAGCTGGCTGCTACATTCAATCAGACCCCTGCAGGCGCCCAGATGAGTATCCTCATATTGCCTGGTGGTGTTCTGGAGAACAAGGGACTTATCCTGGTTATCTACTCTACCCCTCCCCACCTCCCTGCTCAGCAACTGTATGGATTTTTTTTTTGCTCTGAGTGGTCAGACCTCTGGCCTCCGTGGGGAATCCCCACCCCCTCATAATCCTAATTTAAATCTCATTCATTAGAAGACAGTTAGTGAGAAATGGGGGTTTGTGGAGGGAAGCGATCAGCAGGACTGCAGAGGGGGAGGTCAGCTCAAGGGAGCAGAGAGGCAGTTATACCGCTCGCTCAGACGTGGGGAAGCCTCAGGGTCTCACTCACAGGCAGGCTGCCTGCAGGTAGTACTCCAACCCCACTGGCACATGCACTGCGACTGTAACCTTCCTCACACCACTGTCACTGATGCAGGCCTGCAGTCTTTACAGGCACTGTATCCATTTCACTGTGTCCAGACGTCATTCTTTCATCAGCCCTGGGTGGCTGTTGGTTAATGCATGGGTTGGGGACAGAAAGCCTTGAATGCATTGAGGCATTGAAACTTTACCCCCCCGGAGCTGCAGGGTCACCACAGACACTCAGCTGCACTATAATCTCCCTTAAACAGACCAAGAATTAATAAAGATCAAAGCAATGGAGTGCACTGAGTCCTGGCAGTTTGAGTGCACTCAACAAGGGATTCAGGCAGCTGTGACAGCAGCAGTCATGGATGTTTCCTCTAGCACTCCCTTCTACATCGTCTTCTGCACTATAACTGCTGACCGCATTTGCGGCTCTGAGCTCCTGAACACACTGCATCTTAGCACTGTAACACTCAGCTCCTGAACATGCTGCAGGCCAGCACTAACACTCAGCTCCTGAACACACTGCAGCCCAATACTGTAACACTCAGCTACTGAACACACTGTAGCCCAGCACTGCAACACCGAGTTACTGAACACGCTGCAACCCAGCACTCTGTCACTGAGCTCCTGAACACACTGCAGCCCAGCTCTCTGACACTGAGCTCCTGAACACGCTGCAGCCCAACGCTGTGATCTTGTCAATCCCTGACAAGAGAGTGGGGGTACAGGCCTGCAGGACGGAGAGTTCATTCCTGTGAGCACTGACCCCTTGTGCCTGCTCTCCCCTCCCCACCACCCTCTACTCTCTCAGCAGAGCGCAGAGCTCGCTCGGTTGCATAATTGCTAAATGTCTGCGCTGTCTAAAGGTTGTGCCGATAAGGCTTTTATAGAAGTGTTGCTTTTATCGCCTGTTTCAGAGCCCCGGCTCACCATGTGTGGGGGATTAGCAATCTCTTGTGTTTTTTTTATTCCTTGCCTAGCTCTGCTTTTCTGCCTCTCCTCCTGTCTTCAGTCTCTCTCTCTGTCTCTGTAAGACTGAGGATTAGCCCGACCCCGATAATAAAGGCCTGTGCTGAGGAACCGCCTGCGGAGGTCTGGGGAGTCCAGGCCCCCAGAGGGCCTCCTGGTGCCCATTCCACCCAGGGACTTCGCTTGCTTCACTGGTTTCGTGAACGGAGGAGCTGGAAACAGTGCTGTGCCTCCTCCCAGGCCTTTTATAGCTTGTGCGCATCGAGTGAGTCCTGAGAGTCATCAGCTTTCACAACGCCCTGTTGAGATAATGACTGCACCAGTTAAGTGAATCTAGCGGGACCGATCAGCGGAGGGAGGCCTCTGGGAGAGTGACATTGCTGACGGCTCCCAGATCCAGGTTTCGTCCCAGAGAGACGGGACAGCCAGGGACCTCCGACACTACGACACAGGGGATCCCCAAGAGTGACCCACCTGCGGCCGCCTTTAATTAGTCCTAAAGATAGCATCAGCGTTTAACCGCTGCTTAATTAAAGTTGCTCAATTTTTAAAAGACACCAATTAACATTTTCCAACGAAGGCAAGTACATATGTAGCAGCCTTTAATTCCTAGCTGTGCATACCCCCATGTTAACGGCACAGCTTCATAGCCTGTCGTACACTTCACTGCAAGGAGTGCCCTGATAATACACACCAGTCCTAAAACCCGCTGGAACGGGATCGAGCCCCAAGTGACACGCTGGCCAGCCGGGGGCCGCGAGAGAGGGCTCTGAGGATGAAGAGGGAAGAAGAGCAGGCGCAGTAATGTTCAGGAAACTGCGGTGAGACAGGCTGGTTAAACCTGAGACTGGGTATGGGCCCCTGGGGGTGGCGCCGGTGCCACCCCATCACCGCCAGGGGATCTCAGGACCGCAGACCAAGAGCCCAGCAGCCTGACATTTCCAGTCATCATTCCGGTCCAGCTCGGACAGTTCCCATGGTGATTTTTCTCCAGGAAAGGGCTGTCACTCCTCCTGTTCTGTCTTCTCCAGTTTGCAGCGTGACCACGAGAGGTCTTAGCCCTACGAGGGGGTACATGTGCGCTGTACGATTCTCCAGAAGTGTCCAGATACAAAGAGGAAGTGTGCTTTTTCCTGTCACAGTGATGAAGCTTGGCGCTGGGGAAACACAGAGCAAACAGGCAGTCTGCACCTTGGCTCTGGGAATTAAATAGACTCTGGTGGGTCAATTTAATGGACTGTCAAGACCAATTTAATTCTGCACTCCAGTCCATTATGAGCTCCCACTTTTACAAGCCCTGCTCAGCTAATGAAAGAGGCTGGGCGAGAGGCAGCAGCGCTGCACGACAGGAGGGGGGAGAGGCCTCTGGGAGCAGGCAGCCGTCGGGCAGGGGGAGCCCTCGGCGTCCAGGCCGAGAGGGCTGAGGGTGCGAGCTGCGATTCCACCAAGTGGGGGTCTGGTGACGCGTGGGGCTGTGTGCCACCTGGGTCACTGGAGCCCCCCCAGAGAGAATTACACCCTTGCATGGCCACACTGGCAGCGCAGAACACACAGTCACCCGCCAGCAGGCCCTCTGGGTTCTACCTGTGGCTGGACTGTAGCTGCCGGATCTTTTCCGGCCTGCAGGGACAGGCAGAGCAACGAGCAGCCGGTTCCCACTGCACAGCCAGCTGCAACCCGGCCACCTTCCCAAATCCCTGACTCCCATCAGGAAACAGCTGGAAGACGCCCCCAGATCTCCTTCAAGCAGCCAAGCAGGCCAGACCCCCTCCTGCTTGTAACACCTTGTGTGTTCTTGCTGTAATAAACAAATCCTTTACATTTGTTTGGCTCTTTTCAGCCAAAAGCCCGTGAACGATATGGGGACCCCCCTCACTCCCCAGTGCAGTGCAGCCCCCCACACAGCAGTCTGGGGGCAGGAGAGAAGACCTGCTGCACCAGGTGAACGAAAGGGGAACTTAGATTGACCACAGCAGCCAGGACAGCAGCTACTGTATAACACCCCTGCCATCGCAAACAGTGTGTTGCGCTTTTATGGCAGGCAGGGGCTGGGTGTCATGTCTCATTGGATTAAGGTGATCAAGGTCCTGAGGCTACAGGTTGTGTAGGCCCCTCCTACCCATCCCATGAAAAGAAAAAAGCAGGTGAAAATACTGTAGTAATTCAGTGACGCCTTCAGAGTAAGAGGTTTCTACCGCCGATGCAAACGGAATATGACGCGGCACACGCAGGGAACACACACGTACACACACACACGACTATAGCCTGTGATATAAGAAGTACAGCAATGCAACCAATTCATCAGATTCACAGCCAATCTGCGAGCTGACAACAGAGATCAGGTGCACGCTTGCTTTGAGGCCCACCCTCTGCAACAACAACAACAAGATGAGCACAGCGGAGACCAGCGAGCGCATCGTCTCAAGAACCGCACCAACAATCGCGGGACACTCCCAACACACGCCAGTCCATCGCAGCCCATAGACTCCAGTCAGTTAATCCACGGCATCTGCGATCAGATACGAGCGATACAGACCACAAACCAAACAGCAATGCACAAAAAAAGCATGTTCGTACCTTTAGAGGGTTTTCTAACCTTTCTATGGGCAGCAGGGCCAGGTGATTCCGTCTTGAGACATACTGCTCAGGCAGCCGTAACCTCGTGGCCGGGGTCTGGCTCGGGCTGACTGGATGACGATCCAGCCGACTTGAAAGAAGTAGTCTTGGGCTCTTTTTGAGTAGACCCAGCTCACGCTGATCTTTTAAACGCTGTGTTTTTTCGTTTCTGCGCCACACTATCATATTTTCTATCACACATGTTGGTGCTAGCCACTTTTTGTGACCCGCACCCGATCTAAAATCTCTTAACCCGAGCACGCCCCACCATCCTCACTAGCCTCTGTAAACGTGCACCAGAGACGACCCACTGCGTGACACAACAGTGATATAAAATCCGCCAAAATACATTTGACCTGCAAACCCATTGCATCTAACGGATCATCGATTCATAAATTATTTAACGTTTTTTCTGGACCGATGGGGGCCCACTGGTCCGTTACAAAACTAATAATAACGTAACAAAGTTGGCGTCTGACATCCCCGTTATGCGCAGGGGAGGGCGGTGACGTCACCGCGCTGCAAACGGCACGTACAACCTGCATGCCGGCCAAAAACAAAAATCAAAAACCTGTATGTCGGTCGTATTCATTACAATAACAGTCATTCTGGCCAGTCATGGGCCCCTTGATCAATCCGGGCCCCTAGGCTACAGCCTATGACAGCCTGCTCGTTAATGCGACCCTGCCTACAGCAGTGTCCTCTGCTGCCGCACTGCGGCGATGGTGTAGAAACTCTGGTTCAGAAAGAACAGCGCCACCTACTGCTCAACCAGCACCGATTGCAGCAGTAATATGCTTTGTCCTTTAGCAGTGGTTAATATGTCCCATGGTTTTATATTTGAATACAGTCATGTGGTTGTCCCAGGCTTGACCGGGCAGAGCCTTGCTTGGCTGAGGAGGTCTGACGAGATCGGGCTGCGAGGACGGCGGCCGTCGTGCTCTCAGTGGGTCTGGGCCGCGTCTCAGATGCAGAGTGTTTGTTCACATCCGTCCGTTTCCACCCCGATGAGGGTCAGGGCAAACTACTGTACAGGCACCGACTCCACGGGCCTCTCCCTGTGGTCGGGCAAGCGGCACAGAGCCCTGCGTGGTGGGAACTGGGCAGCGAAGCCGCACGCTCCCCGAGTCCAGACACTCTCTGCTCCTGACTGACACCTCCCAGGCAGCTGGGCACAGCTGGCGCAGCACCAGCGCCAGCACCAGCAGGCCCGGGTGAGTGGGCACGTCCTGCATGAGGCGGCACCAGAGGGGAGTCTGCAGTCGTCGCCGGTGTCGTCCACAGAGACGTGAGTGGGCTTCTGCGCCGGTGTGAGGGGACCACAGCACGTCAAGCTCTGAGAGTCACGCCGCCTGGCTCCCGATCAGCAGGCGTGTGTTCAACCCTCAGATCAAGAACTAATAATTAATCATGACTCATCGCAGGATAGAGGAAAACTCGCAGCAGTAATGAGAGGCCTCTGACTAGACCTGGGCTGACAGGCTGCCAGCTGTGCTGATCCACTCACTGCGCTGTGCTCACTCACGGGGTGCCCTGCCCGGCACACGGGCTGATGGGAGCACTGTACCCCGCTCTCTAACTGCAGCCGGGGTCGCCCCCAGTCTGTGACTCCTGTTGGTCACCCCCCTCGACGCAGGGGGCTTCCTAACGCACTCCTGCGCTCACTCCTGCTGCTCGTCCTTTCACTACGGCAAATGATTTCTCTTAGTTTGGAGAAAATCTGAAACAAATCGCTCCCGAAAAAGCAAACACGCTGATGTGCACATAATATCCACATCTAGCAGATTGAATCAAGTAAAGTTAAAATAGACACACAGCATGAACAAAAACACAGATTGAACAATCTGCTTGGAGACAACTAGACTTGCTCTGTGCTTTGTACACAGTATTAGCTAATATCTGACTCCTTAAATGATGTCAAACCCTGCATTTGAGGAAATCTGTTTAAACTGTCAAGTACAGTTAAAAGACCACTACAAATTCTAGAGGGGCTCTCTCACAGCTTTAGGGGTCCTGGGGTTGATTTGAGACTCTGGTTTCTGTCTGTGTGGAGCTTGCATGTTCTCCGAATGCTATTTTCCTTGCTAGGATAGGCTTTGACTTGCCACAACTCTCACCAAGACAGGAGGTTTTCTAATACTGGTAAGCAGCAGCTTGTCTACCTGTTTAAATAATCTGGTTTGCAGAATAGCCCTGCAGATGGTCGGGTCCATCCTGAGGTCCAGTCTGAGGTTCGTCCGGTCCACTGTGAGTGCCGAGATGTTTGTACTCACAGCTGGTGTTGACACAACTCAGGCTTTCAGACAGGCCCAGAGCCGCAGGCCTCTGTAGGGGCGTTCTGTCCCGTTCGGTTGGTCAGAGATGGGAGCACCAAGGTGACATCAGGCCATCGGCTCTCCTGGCCTTCAGTATTTGTGGGTATTACAGAACCCAGCTGTCTGACTGCACTTTGCAATGACCTCATCCTTCAGCCCGAATCCTCACAGCCCCAGGGCCACTACAACACCTAAATATTTCACTAAACACAGCTCATTGCAGAGCAGCATCATGAATTTTGAATGCATTGTTTGAAAACGCTTTAGTTTGCCCTACATTGTTTAAAAACACTTAAGTTTGCTGACTATAGCACAGCAGCACAGAACTTTAGCCTGTCTGGGCCGACAGGACGGAAGTTTCTCCTCTTGAGCTCAGATCACTCTGTCTCAGCTCTGAGCTTCTTGACTCGTTGTGTTAAATAATTGTTCCACGGCTCACAGCTGTCACAGAGCACAGCAGCAGCTCTGGGCCTCAGTCCTCCAGGTGATTGTTGTAACGTTTAAAAGGACAGTTTCAAGCATTAAACTGTGGCATGCACACGTTATAACAATATTTGTCTCATTCCCAATGATGTGTTTTTTATCAATTCAATAAGCAATTACATTAAAACGTTGCAAACATTCCATGACTGAGTTTAGTGTTCGGTTTATTTAAATTATTTAACACTGATGCACACCAAGGTAGCAGATCCCTAAATTAATCTCAGGTCTGTGTGCTCATACCAGCATCCCAGTCAAAATCGGACTGGAAGGGAATTTGCAGTTACATGTATTATATAATGGAATGCCTACTTTAATGGTTAACGTTTCTCCTAAAATGTGTGGAATGCGATGCAGTCTTTTTCTCAGTGCAGCCTGAACAGTTTCCATTTCTCTTGAGCCTCTCCCTGTGCAGGACAGCCATCTAAACTGGCCCAAATTAATCAAACAGTACAGGACTAGGCAGGGATATCCAAACATCCGCATTTAAAATGAAACAACAGAACTACTACAGAACTCAGAGCTCCGATCACCAGATCCTTAAGAAGAGCAATGAAGCAAAGTTCAAATACCCTAGCTATTTATACTTTACATAAATACATATGCAAAAAACTATAAACCACACAGATGTCCCTTCTTTAAAGGCAGAGGCTGTGAAGTGAGCTCCCGCTACAACAGACGACAGCCTCATGGTGTAATTACAAGGTCTGGAAATGCACACCTGAGAGAATAGCATTCTGTTTCACTGCTGTTCTCTCAGTTTGCAAACAAACTCCTGACGTTAAAGAGGATCATCAGAAAGTCCCTCACAAACTGGCCCTGGACTGGAGATTAGGAAACTGCGCCTGGAGACGTCTGGGTCTTGGCATGTTATTTAGCAGTGTTTGTTATGGGAAAGGTGTTAAACAGGGCATGTTCCTCTGACACTAATACATTGAAAAACTGAGAACTGGAGGCACTTCTTTTCATAAAGGGCCGTGGGAGTCTGGAACAAGTTACCCAGCCATGTGGTTGAAGATGACACTCTAGTTTCTTTCAAGAAACAGCTCAACTCAATTCACTACTAACTCTCAAATGAGCCACATTCTCTCACAATGTGTGTTTAGAGTGTGAGAGTGATACAATGCTTGTTCCTCCTCAGGTTCAGGTAGAATTCGGTGTTTTCTATGTCTGCGGAAGGCAGGGCTCTGATACTCACAGACCTGTAAATATCTACGCAAAGCCATGAATGATGTGTCACAGTGTAAATAAATATTTATAATGTAATATAATGTTGGCCATGCCGATGACTCCCTGACTATAAGAGCTGAAAATATTATTAATGGTGATTATTTGCTTGCAAAGCAAACTAACGCCGGGGCCCGATATTGAACATTGATTTAATGTCTCTTATTTGATTATTCACATTCCCCTGTGTTCAACAACAGGGCTCAGCACAGTGTTTTCAGTGTTGTATCAGTATTCTTTGAAGTGTCAGAGGTGTGACTATTGTGCATTGCATGCTTGTCAGTCCTGTTGTGAAGAATATTTTCTGACATGCCGTTCAACATCTGGTTATTGTGAAAGTTATTGTGCAGCGATGGGTGTGTGTATCGGTTAGGAAAGTGAAGGTGCTGAAATGTGATCGCCGGGCTCTGGGATCTGGGATCAGCTTGAGGGGCTGATGAGGCAGAACTCTCTGTGGCAGAGATGCTCTGTGAAATACAGCTCTGGCTCCGTACTGGAAATAGCAGAATTTTAGCAGAACCATTAACAGAACCATTGACCATTAGCAGAACCATCAACAAGCTATTTCAGGGTAGTGATGGTGCCTATGGGCTCTACATAAGACAACAAATGCAGAATTCTGAAAGAGCTCCATGGTTCTTTGGTAACGGCACAGGATCAGGTGAAACAAAAGCATTTTTCCTCGTTGACCAATGTCTTACAGAGGAGTGTTGCTCAGCTCTCCTGCGAGGGCTGAGATCTTCATACACCTGTCCCTCTGAGTCAGTGAGGGAGTGAGAGTGTTTAAAAAGAAAACTTCACAACAGCTCACTCTTGCTGACCTGGAGCACCACTAGTTAAGAAACCACCTTCCTTTGTATTTCTGAAAGAGAGAAATCGGATTTTGATTCTTGAAATTTCAGAAGACAAAGTTACTTAAATATTAAAATCTTTCCTGCTCCATGCAATATTCCTCTTTCAGAAGGTTTCTCAGTAGCTTTTATCAGAAGGGGTGATTTAATTGCTATCTCCACTTTCAAAGGGCGCTCAGGCCTATTATGAAAATTCAGGATGGCTTTTTTATTAAAGTAATCTCTGGGGAGAGCAGAGAAATATGGAACTTTTCAAAAGACCTTTTATTTATCTTGATGCTTTTAATAACCTTTCACAAATGTATATGGGAGCAGGAAACAGTAAATGCAGACAAATGGTCTCTGAGGAGTCAGTGTGATTAAACCTGAAGTCCTTAATTCTCAATTAGCAGAAGCCCACACACACCCCCACACAGATAGAGTTAGTGTCGTAGAGATGACGCAGAACTCCTCCTCTTTCAGAGTGTTCGGCAAACGAATCAATGTGACGCTGTAAAGGTTCATCAGAGAGCTTTGAATTTGCTGTCTGGCGCTGGATTGGTCTGTCCTAAAATCTCTGCTGGGCTTTGCACAAAGCACACAGAATCAGCTCACAGAACCCCTGAAG